ATGCACAACTATAGCTGGACAAATGGCTAGAAATCTCTAATTTTTTTTTTAACCAAGGATCAAACTCATGGCCTTGTCCTTGCTAGGCAGGCACTTGTGCAGCTGAGATACTAGAACCCCACATTTTTAATTCTTTCTTTTGTCTCCTTCTTTGCATGTGCAGTACTTGGGATTTAACCTAGAGTGCTCACACTGAGTACATTTTCAGTTGTTTTTTTGAGATAGGGTTTTACCAAATTGCTAAGTTGCCTAGGCTCTGAGATCCTCTTGCCTCAGTCTCCCAGAGTACTGGGATACCAGGTATGTGTCACCATGGCTGCCCAGAACAGCTGCCTTTTTGTGGAAGTATTTTAATAACTTGATTCCTCTACAATTATTGTTCTTTAAAAAAACTTTCCCTTTGGGGCTGGGGATTTAGCTCAGCAGCATAAGAACCTGCCTTGCAAGCAGGTGGTCGTGAGTTCGATCCCTGGTACCGATTAAAAGAAAAAAAAAAAAAAAACTTTCCCTTCTTTGGGACAATTTAGGAAATTTGTATTTCCTAAAAGTTGTCTACTTGGCACTTTCAAATTTGATAGTCTAAAACTGTGTTGCTATTTTTTAAAGGAGACAAAATCTTGCTATGTTACCAGGCTGGCCCTAAACTCCTGGCTCCAAGCAATTCTCTTGCCAAATAGCTGGGACAACAGGCTTGTACAAGAGTGCCTGGTATCACATTTTAAAAAATTTATTTATTTTAAAAAATTTTACTTAAAGAAAGACTAAACAAAACAGAAAATAGGTAGAAATGATACATAAGTTCAGAGAAAAAACAGAAATCCCTAGTTGATGTTTACATATTGTCGTTTCTCAAATAGTTGTTCAAGATACAAAAATGGAACATGTAAAGTGTGAATTCAAACAGCAAGACTGCAAATAGTTCTGTCCAACAAAAACTTAGTAACATGATTGTCAATCCTATACACCTAAACATACATGCAGTTATCAGTATCTTCATTTATGTTTAGATTAAACAAACTAAAGCAGGTTAAAATCATACAGAAAAAAGAATAGTATTGCTGGATTTCACATCATGACGCTCTGTGATCAGCACTGGGTACTGCAGTGTCTTTTTTTAAAAATTTAATTTAAAGAAAGACTAAACAAAACAGAAAATGGGTAGAAATAATACATAATTTCAAAGAGAAAATAAACAGTAAGAAATCACTAGTTGATGATTACAGATTGTCTTCTTACAAATAGTTATTCAAGATACTAAAGTGGAACATATAAAGTGAGGATTCAAACAGTGAGATTGCAACCAGTTCTGTTCAAGTATCCAACAAAAACTTAGAAATATGGTTATCAATCCTATACACTTAAATATACATGAAGTTATCCATATCTTCAACTATTGAACAAACCCAAGCAGGCTAATATCACTCTGAACAAAGAATAATACTATTGCTGGGTTTCACATTATGACACTCCAGGATCAGTACTAGGTATTTCAGTGTCTCTTTTTCTTCAGAGTATCTGTTCATTTCATCATGTGTCATAAGATCTGTTCTCATAAACTGTTCATAGATTCTACATATGCGTGAGTCTTAACATGCATTTTTATCCTTTCTATATTAGAGGGAGAAACAAATCAAAGCATGGCGAAACAAAACATATTTCTATAAACACATGAAACCAAAAAAACATATAGGACTGTTGTACAAAAAGAGTTCTACCATGGTTCCTGTGTTGTCTCTTGTTATCTCCAATAGAATTGGCTATATCATCAGACATAGTATAACTGAATATATCAGTACATAACAGTATTAATAAAAACACAACTTTGTATATAGAACTTCAAAAACCAGCAGTTATCAAACCAGAATGTGTATTGTAGAGTCTTTTCATCTTCAATGTTGTTGCCTATACTCTCAGGCTTGATACTATCAATCATATCAGTTTTGAATAAAACCAGTCTGTGTTATGTTGCATTCTAAATTGACTATCTCAGGGAGCCCCTGTAGCCAGTTGTTATCTATCCACCATCTTTGCTCCTCCTCCACATTTTTAAAATTTAAAAGTCAGTTTAATGGGTACAAAGGTGCAAGTGGCTAATCCTAACATTTAGGGGGTGAGAAGGGTTGTTTGAGGCCATGCTGGGGTATATATTGAGTTCATAGCTAGTGTAGACACTGTCTCAAAAAGCAAACAACCCCCACCCCAAACAAACAAAACTGTAAGAGATAAAAGGAAAGAAAAACTTACATAACATCCCCTTCATTGTTCTAACTATGTGGATCTCCTGATGGAAACAGGATTCCTAGACTGGCCAGGTCTCTGTCTACCTCAGAGTCTATAAACTGCAGCTACAGGCTGAAGCTTGTCTGTAAAGCCTATGGTCTAAGAATGGTTTGTTCATTTTTCCCTTAAGAATAATTCTGATGTGAAAAATTATGCATTTAAACTTTAGTGTCTATAACAAACTTCTGTGGAAACCCAGCCATGCCCGCTTGTCTGCGTACTGTCTGGTAGCTCTCATGCTAACAGCGGAAGTGAACAGCTGCTGCAGAGACCATACAGCTTGCAAACCCTAAAATATTTACTACTGGTCCTTCATACAAAAGTCTGTGATTTATGATCTGTGGGACACAAGCTTTGTCAGACCAGTATTCCTACAAATCCCCGGGTTTATTATGTTATCTTGGTTTCTAGATTCTTGTATGTTTGCTCCAAGACAGAATGCTACATTAAATTTTGTCACAACAATGGAGTTTTTGCCAAACTTCTCTTGCATATTTAACTGTTTTTGTTTTATAGATTCAATCTCTATGTTTCTGTGAGCTGAGGTTGATGATATATTTCTCCTTTACAAAAATGAATTATTTACTTTTTTTCAAACTAGATACCTTACTGAGTTCTACAGTTTCTTATTAATGCCAGAATCTTGATTTCCTAATGTAACTTGCCAAACATTTTGCTATAGGAGTCTCTTGTAATTGCAGAATAGTCGGATTTTAATTTACTATGCTAGTTAACTCTTTTTTTTGTCTTTTTCCTTTTTATCGGTACCAGGGATCGAACTCACGACTGCCTGCTTGCAAGGCAGGCGCTTAAATGCTAGTTAACTCTTCAAAAAGAGGAAACCAAATGTTAGCTAAACCTGAGATTCATAGGCAGAATAATGGAGTTTAAACCACACATGCTTAGCTCTTCTGATCTTTCACACTGGGTAATACAGAACTTTTCAAGCTTTTCATGTCTATATCTTTATGTTTAGCTTTAATGAAGGGGTATACAAGTATGTAGGTGTCAAATCTCATGAGGGATATTTTAGACATTAAGACTCTCTTCCTCATCCTAAAGCACACGGAGCATTAAGAAATAACACCAGCCTGGTCTTGTAGTACTACTAAATCACATTTCCATTTAGTCTCTGTTTGCTCTTTTACCTCTTTTTACTTCTTTGAGCCATGGCTACCAGCAGGTCTAAAAATATCAAAAACCTTTACAGTCATTAATGTTGAAATAGAAATATGAGTGAGTCCTTTCTTTTTTGGAGTTTTCTGTATTTTTTAAGTTAAGAACACTAATTATATAAAAATAACAATATTCCAGTAAATTTTAAGATGAATTATATACCTTTCCCAGCATTCTAGGGGGAAAGGGCTAGGAATATAGCTCAGTGGCACAGCACCTGCCTGGCAAGTACAAGGTCCTGAGTTCGATTCCTGATACCCCCCCAAAAAAAACTCTGGGGGGAAAAAACAGTAAAAGATAATAAAGAGTCTATAACAGTAAATATAAGTCAGTTAAACTCTCCTACTAAAGGAGTCTTTCAGAATGGATCAAAAATTATTTTATTTTATTGGACAAATCTTTCAGAATGGATCAAATTTTTAAATTTTATTTTATTGGGGGGAGTTTCTCACTATGCTGTGCAGGATGTCCTTGCATAATAATCCTCCTTGACTCAGCCTCCCGAGGGCTGAGTTTAAAAGCATGCTCCACCATACTTGGCTTCCTACCTAGTTTAAATAGTCCTGTTACAGAACCCCATTCAGAACCACGGTTAGCTAGGCTAACTGGTCTGTGTCTAGGGGTGGCCCTTTGATGGCTGCCCAGACCAAAGGACAGGCAATATGCAGAGTGGCCAGCAGCTCATGGTGTAGGTCAGTGTGAAAACCTGTACTGGGCCGACTTCTCTTTGAAATTTAGAAGAATGGGAAAAAAGTTGACTGGATAGAGAAGACAGCAAGTAGCTGATTTAAGCATTTGATGCCTTACTCAACTGCAGAACCTATTCTTTCTATAGTCTGTTTTGAGTATTTTCTGAGGTAAAAAAATATTTAGCTTTCTCTGGATTCCTGAACATATATATCCTTATGATGAACTTGCTATTATAACTTATTTGGAATTTTCCTTCATAATAAAAAAAACTGTATATACACTTTAACTTTTTATTTTTATTTTTTGCATTTTACCTTTTAAAATAATTTTTACCAACATATAATTCTGTAAAGTTATATGAAATGAAACTGTGTATTTCACAGGTGAGAAAACTAAGAAAGAATAGAGAAAAGAAAGAACAGCTTTTCACACTGCCCTACACCATAAGCTGCTGGCCCCTTTACATAACAATGATAATAGAACATAGCTTTTTCCTCATGCAGTCACTAATTTGTTTGAATGCTACTGTTTTCCATTATAGCTTTTTCTTCTTAAAACAGCAGCCACACCAAAAAGTGTTTAAGGCAAAAAAAAAAACAAAAACAAAAACAAAAAACAACAACAACAACAAAACAAAAACAAAAACAAAAAAACAGGTCTCCTGAGTTGGGCGCAGTGGCACATGCCTGTAATTCCATTCCTTGGGAGGCAGACGCAGAGGATCTCTGAGAGTTCTAAGGCTGACCCGGGCTACATAGTAAGTCAATACCAACCTGAACTACACAGCAAGACCCTATCTCAAAAAAACCCAAACCAAACCAAACCAGCTAAAAAACAAAAGTAGGTCTTCTTACCTGTGTGTTGTATGGCAGTTATTGCCTGAGCGTTACACTGCAGCTGTAACAGGTGCCGCAGCATGGCCACTGCCCATATGTTCCAGTCTGCATGCAGTTCAGGAGTCACTGCTGCCTTCAGACCTGTGGTAAGGGCAGGCAGGCTGGCTGCTTCAAGCTGCCTACACAGCGCAGAGATACTGAGAGCACACAGAAACTTATGCTCTGGGCTGTGGTTTTCAGTATGGGGCAGAAGGTTGAAGACAGCATTATAATTATTTTCATACTTCCCCTTAAGGTTACACCCAGGAATTTGGGTCTCAACTGTTTTGCCAATTTCTTCACTTTTTCCCTGGTTGTAGTTGAATGTCTTGACCAGAGTCTTGCTTTCAGATAAACGCATGTCCTTGTTATTAATCTCATCACAAATCCTCCTTAAAACTTTGTCCACATCTTCGAATCTAGCCAAAAGAGTCAACCTCAGGGCAACATGGCAAAATACCCCGAGTGTAAGCAGCAGCTCCCCCAGAGAACACTCTACGCTGTGGTACAGTTCCCAGGCCTGCTGAATGCACTCCTGGCTGCAATACTTGGCATAGCTACATCCATGGCAGGGAACCATGGCCAAAGTATGCTTCAAACATCTGTGACAGTAGAGATCCCCAAGGGTAACCCTGGTATCCCACCTACTCTCTAGGCCCTGATGCGGGGGTGGCATTTCTCCTGGGTTGAGGACACTCACAAAAGCATCCTCCTTTACTAGGAGTTCTCCTGGGATAATGTCTTTTGTGGCAATCAGGTAGCGGCCTTTTAAAGGATCTGTGCATAAGCGGACAGAGGACGATGCACTAGAAATATGTTCATTCTCTTCCCTTAGGTCCATATCCTCAGAGTCTTTGGCTAAAGCAGTAGGGAAGATTTCTGGGAGGTTCTCCTTTTCTTGTATCTTCATTTTCAGAATGCAGAGGTTTTTCTGTAGAATTTGAAAGGGGGAAGCTGTTGGAGTTGGTTTGACAGTGAAATTACTTTCAAGATCACTGACTGTTTGGCTTGCCTCTTTCAATCTCCCCAGGGTCACTAGGCATTCTGCCTTACGCAACATCAGCTTGGGTTGCAGTCTTTCTGGATATCCATGCATCAGTGCTCTGATGATATCATTGAGACAGGTCTGAAAACAGAAAGGAAGCCCCAAGATGATCCTTGGTCCTTAGTTTGCAATCTGTATTGAAAATCTATCCAAAACTCTACCGGAAAGTTAAGAGTTTATATGTGCTGATGCAGTGAGCACAGTTAAGAAGTTAAAAGCAGAACAAATACAACGAAGAGCTTATTTTTTTAAATTATATTCTACTGGCTTTTTTTTGAGGGCGGGGGTTTAGGCATTGAACTCCTCCTAAAATACAAATCTGATTTTGGTTACTTCCTGTTTTAAAAATTCCAGATACAATTCTGAAGGCTTTGCTAAGAGAGGCTAAGGATATGCTCTGCTACTGATTTACAACCTTATCTTCTGTGTAATCTTTTTTTTTTTTTTTTAATGCCCTTCAGTCCATTCCAAATTTGTGTAATCTTTTAATTGTTGAGGATATGAGGGCTCTTTTCATTGTTTTTAATTGTTTGTTTTTGAGACAAGGTCTCACTATGTAATTTAGCTGGCCTTGAACTCACTATATAGTCCAGGCTGGCCTCAAACTTGTAGCAATCTTTCTGCCTCAGTCTCCTGAGTGTTAGGAGACTGGTGTGAACCTCCATGCTTGGTGAGGATATTACGTTTAATTTTTCTTATTAAATACTTTTATTTTCATTTCTTTTGAAAGCAAAGAAGTTGTATTTATTGACGATAAAGGAAAAACATACTCAGGGCAGATCCATACTGGAAACAAGTATGTAGCACGTACAGAAAAGTGGTACAGCGCTGTCTGGAAAGGTGAAAAGCCCACAGATCCCTCTTTTCTTTTCTTTCTTTCTTTTTTTTTTTTGTTTCTTTTTTGAGACAGGGTCTTACTATGCAGTTCAGGCTGGCCTTGGGTTCACTTTGTAGCCCAGGCTGGTCTCTAACTTGCAAACAATTTTCTTGCCTCAGCCTCCTATGTGCTGGGATTACAGGAGTGTGCCACCATGCCTGGCTTATCTCTGTTTTCTTAAAAATAGGAAGGAAAAAAAAAAAAAGAAAGGAAAGAAAAAGAAAGAAAGAAGCTGTATAGAATTACAGAGTTTAAGAGGGCAGACTCTGAATCCAAACAAATCTGCATTCAAATGCAGATTTTCAAAGGGGTATTCAAAAAATACCCCTTTTACAGATGCATGACTTTATGCAAGAACTTTATTTCACAGTCTGTCTTTTCTCACTTGAAACACAAGGATAATTACACCTCACCAGGCTGTTTTGTTTTATTTTATTTTATTTTTTGGTACCAGGGGTTGAACTCATGACCTCGCACTTATCAGGGAGGCGCTTGTGCCACTGAGCTAAACCCCTGGTCTCCACCAGGCTGTTTTAAGGATGAAATAAATATCTATCTGAACTACTGAAAGGAGTACCTAGAATTACAGGAATCATTATTAGATGAAGGAAAACAGAGACAATCAATATAAGGAATTTATAAAGAGTTTGATGTTTTGCAAGTTCTAATTCCTGTGCTTAGTAGTAGCACAGGACTTTCTTGCTTACAACCTAGTTTGACTCTAACACTTCTTTTTTAGTTTGAAGGGCAGTAAGTATGAACTTGTGACTATTCCAATAGTTTTAAACTCTAAGGTATAATTTGAATTTCTATGGAATTTGGAAATGAATGTAGTCATACCCTGGTACTTGATTTCTTCACAACTTGTCAACTTTGCTACATAGGGGCCAGGGATTTAGCTCAGTGGCAAAAGTGTCTGCCTGGCGCTGCTGGTGAGCACACAGTCGTGAGTTTGATCCCTAGTACCATAAAAAAAAAAAAAAAAAAAAAAGACACATGAAGCTTTTTTGGGTATCAGGGATCGAACCCATGACCTTGTGCTTGCCAGGCAAGCACTTATGCCACTGAGCTAACTCTGTGGCCCTATATGCTGCATTTTGATTTGAAAATTTTGTCCTAGTATTTGTTGTTTGGTACTTGACAGACAAGGTAGAACTTGGGGATGTGATTTGGCTCATGACTCACTATCTTTCCTAGACAAGGTAATTAGTTTTGTGTTGATTATTTGAGTCTCTATCGTGCCTCCTCTAACCATTAGTGATGAATACTGAGGACCACTATACTAACTGCTATTAACAGCTTGCTCTTAGGCCCGAGAGTAAACTTCAGAGGCCTCACCTTTTGTGGCTTCCTAAACATAAATCTGATTTTGGTCATTTCCTCTTTTAAACTTCTACTGATACAGGGGCTGGGGATTTAGCTCAGCGGCATAAGCACCTGCCTTGCAAATGTGTGGTCGTGAGTTCGATCCCCAGTACCGATAAAAAAGAAAAAGACAAAAAAAAAAAAAAAATTCTACTGATACAAATCTCAAAATCCTTTTGCTACATTAAGAGATTAGAAGAAAACTATTCATAGAAAAGCCTACAATATGGCATTTCAAGGCAGCTTTTACTCTCCCAGACTCAATGCTTCTTGAGGGAAAGCTGTATTATTACAAGGATAATCTTAAACATGCTCTACTTGTTGGAACTAAATAAATGAACACATAAATATTATGGGCATCCTCAGAACCTAAAGTATTATTAGCAAAGTATCACACAGCTGACCCTGACTCTGAGAACTGGTGGTGTACTGCATCTATGTTACAGAGTGTAACGTAGCTTTTTCTTGTCAACCAGCACTTCTCTGCATGGCCACCTGTGACAGGCAAAACAAACCAAGGGAAAGAACAAGTCTGGCTGGGTATCAACATGCTTCCAATTCAACCAACAGCAGCACAACCTGAGAAAGGAGATAGTGGCCTTGTCCTCCAGTGAAGTCCCAGGCATGACACCCTCTCTCCTGATACTCACTTCATACTGACCCAGGTGGAAGAGTGCTGCAGAGCGATTAGCGTAGCACAGTGAAATGTCCTCAGTGTTAGGCCTCGAATGTGAAACTCCCTGCAAAACAATGAACTAGTTTACAGCTGTCAATGCGCACACCAGAAAAACAGTGAATAAACAATTCATTAGGGTTTATATCTAGATGTCCCCACAAAGCCTCCGGCACTCACAGGACAGGCTCGGGGAGGTGACTTGATCATGGGAGTAATCAGTGAATTGGCCTGCTGATGAATTTACAGTTAAATATAATGGTGAAAGGTGAAGTCTGGTCAGAGGAGGCTGGGTTACTATAGGAGAGGCTGGGAAGGGTCCATCCCAGGCTTCCCCTTTGCTGGCTCTCTGCTTCCCCTCAACATGCCGTGCCATCTGCCCTGGAGTCAGCCAGCTATGCACTGAAACTTTTATCAACTGTCAGCCAGAATAAAGCTCTCCTCTTTTAATTTGTGTCAAGTATTCTGACCTAGCAATAAGAAAGTAACTAAAATATAACCTAATGATGTATCTCAAGGTCCTAGAAAATGAAGAGTAACTCAAACTCAAAGCTACAACAAAGAAGGAAACTATAAAGATCAGAACAGAAATTAATGAAATTCAGACTAGAAAAACCATACTAAGAATCAATGAATCAAAGAGCTAGTTCTTAGAATAAACAAAAGAGAAGCCTCTAGTCAATATGAAAAAGGAAATGAAAGACCCAAATCAACACAATTAGAAATGAAAAATGCAAAGTCACTATGGACTCTTCCAGAATCTAGAAGATTATTAGTAGCTACTGTGAGAATCTGTAAAATGTAGAATTCAGAAGAAATGGATAGATTCCTAAATTCCATATGAACTACCAAAGCTGAACTAAGAAGACATAAAAAACCTAAATAACCCAATATCAGATGGGATTGAAGAAGTATTAAAAAAACTATTAAGAAACACTAAGGTCCTGATGGATTCATTGCTGAATTCTGAGAACATTAAGAAAGACTTAACAACAACATTCCTCAAACTCTTTAATAAAAGCAAACGAGGAGTATTCCTGAAGTCATAAGTGGAAGCTAGCATTCTTGATTCCAAAGCCAGAAAACGACAACCAAGAAAGATAAACTACAGCCCAATCTCTTTAATGAACACAGTTGCAAAAATCCTCACCAAGATACTGGTAAACAGGGTGAAATAAGTCATCAAAACTATCATATATCATGACCAAGCAGGCTTCATCCCAGGGACTTAGGGATGGCTCAACATACACATATCAATAAATATAATACATCACATAAACAGAAGCAAGGACAAAAATCACATGATCATCTCAACTGACACATAAATCATCTAAGCAAAATCAAACATCTGTTCATAAAAGTCCTGAAGAAAATACATAGAGAAGGACCTACCCTCAATCTGAAAAAGTCATTTATGACAACCAATGGCCAACATCATATTAAATGAGGAGAAGTTGAAAGCTTTCCCTCTTGAATAAGGAACTAAACTAAAAATAAAATCAGGAACAATTCAAGGACATTTACTACCACTACTACCGTTTATTGGTTTTTGAAATATTAGTAAAACAATCAGGCAAGAGAAAGAAATAAAAGGATGTATAGGAGAGGAAGAAATGAAATTACCAGTATTTACAGAAGATATGATCCTCTACATAAAAGGCCCCCAATATTTGGGAGACTGAGACAGGAAGATCACTGTGCGTTCAAGGCCCACTTGAGCTCAAGTGAGCTAAAGGCCAGCCTGAACTACATAGCAAGAGATCCTGTCTCAAACAAACAAACAAACAAACAAACTTCCAACACCAAGAGGCTCCTACAATTAATAATCAATTCAGTAGTAAACGAGGATTCAATATCAATACAGAAAAATCAACAGTATTCCTGTACATCAATAATAAACTCACCAAGAAAAAAGTTAGGGAAATAATATCTTTCATGATAGCATCAAGAAAAATTAAATTCTTGGAAATAACCTAACCAAAGAAATGAAAGAAGTCTATAATGAAAACTACAGTATTCTGCAAAAGATCAAACAGGACAGCAAAAAATGGAAAGATACCCTTACTACTGAATGGGCAGAACCAATACAGTCAAACCAGCCATATTTCCAAAATTGATATACAGTTTTAACACAACCCCAATCAAAATACCAATACCATTCCTCACAGAACTACAGGAAACAATACTAAAATTCATATGGAGCCAAAAGAGACCTAGAATAGCAAAAACAAGCAATCCTGGGAAACAAAAGCAGGCAGCAGGTACCACAATCCTAGACTTCAAGTAATATTACAAAGCTACAGTGATGAAGAGGCTGGCAATGGAAAAAGAAAGAAACAAACAAACAAAACAAAGACACAAAGACAATCAGACCTGTGGATTACTGGAACAGAAAAGAGGATGCAAAAACAACTCCAAGCACATTCAGCCACTTTATCTTTGACAAAAAAACCAAAAACACTGAAAGAAAGCTGCTTTAACAAATGGTTACCAAAAAGCAAAAGATTGCATCTAGACCCACATCTCTCATCATGTACTAAACTAAAATGAAAATGGACCAAAGATTTAAATATTTAAACAAACAAAAAATGAAAAACAACAAAACAAAACAAAAATATTGAAACAGCCTGGCCTGGTGAAGCACACTTATAATCCCAGCACTTTGGGAAGCTGAGGCAGGAGAACTGCCATAAATTCGAGGGCAGTATGGGATACACAGTGAGATCCTGTTTCAAAAACCAAAAAATAAAATAACATAAAATGCCTGGGTTACATAGTGAGTTAAAGGTCACTCCAAATTACACAGTGAAACTTTATCTCAAAACAAAAAACAGAAAAGAAAATCAGCAGCAATCTGTTGGAAGATAAAGGTAAAATTCTTTTGCTTAAGAAATTCTTAAGCAAAAAAATTCTTTTTCTTAAATCTTAGGTAAAATTCTTAAAGACATACGCATAGACAAGGATTTTCTGAACATAACACCAATTGCACAAGAAATAACACCACAAATTAACAAATGGGATCACATCAAATTAAAAAGCTTCTACACAGCAAAGAAACAACCAACAGAGTGAACAGACAATGTATAGAATGGGAAAGGTTTTTTTTTTGGTACTGGAAATCAAACTCACAAACATGCACTCGCAAAGCAGGCACTGTGCCACTGAGCCCAGAAAGAAAAAGTTAGGGAAATAATATCTCTAGCCCAGAAAGGAAAAGTTTTTGCCAGCTATTTCCCAGACAGAAGACTAATAGCTAGAATATAATAAAACATTAAACCTCCAAAATAAGACCCAAGTAAAAATGCACAAATGAAATGAACAATGCTTCTCTAAAGAAATACAAATGGCCACTAAATACAAGAAAAATGTTCGACATTTCTGCCTATTAGAAACATGCAAGTTAAAACAATGAGATTTCATCTTATACCAGAAAGAATGGCTATCATTAAGAATCCAGATAACAATAAAACCACAAATTATTCCCCCTGAATAAAAAGGAAAAGAAAAAGGGTAGATGTCTGTTTTAGTTTCTTTCTCATTGCTGGGATAAAATACCCAGCACCCATAAAGAAAGAAAGGTTTCTTTTGGCTTACAGTTTGCAGAGGTTTCAGTCCATAGTCAGCTGGCTCCCAGGCAGGGGAGAGTGGCAGAGGGCCTGCAGAGGAGGCTATCTCATGATGTGGCAGGCAGGAAGCAGGAAGAAATCAAGGGAAGAGAAGGAACACAACCCTCCAGATCATGCTCACACTGATCCACCACACTTCACCTCCTGATATCGCACCCAGCTATAAATCAACAATGGACAAACCTAGTGTCACATGTCCACAATCTAGTCACCTTCCTGACAGAAGTCACCTATGAGTGTTTAGACTTTGGGTGCTCATCTAGTATGCAAGGCCAATAAATCCATGAAAAAATGATTAATATCTCTGGCTACTAGAGACAAGCAAATTAAAGCAATGAGATTCCATCTTATTCCAGAAAGAATGGCTAGAATCATACCACAATAAAACCGAAAAAGAAAAAATAAGAAATAAGCGTGGATGTCACAGGTAGAAATTTACTGAAGAAACACAAATAGTTAATATATGGAAAGCAACTTATAAAAAGTCAAACATATGCAAATGAAAACAAAAAAGGTATTTTTTTCTCCCTTAAAACTGGTGAGAAAAGATGGGAATTAATCAACAAAACTACTGGAGCGAGTAGACAACCTCTGAGAAAAAGTAAGTTAGTTCAACACACGATACATCTTTTACTGGGTAACTGCAAATGGTTCAGACTTTTTCTGGGCCAGGACGGGTTAGGATGTGAACCCAAGGGCCTTATACATGCTAGGTTTTCCACCACTAAGGTTTATCTCCTTCCCACAAATGGCGCAGACTCTTAACATAAAAGATGAAGTCACAACAATACTGGAGGAAACTTTAGGAATAATCTAAAGTAATGTTAGAGAAATCACTTTCTAATTATGACACAACACCACAAGTCATAAAAAAGTTAATAAATTTGTTCACATAAAAATAAAAAATTTCATTGCAAAACCAATAAAGGCAACATTAAAATGCAAACAATGAAATGGAAAAAATACATGCAACTCACATTATAGGCAAAGAACTAATTTCTTTATCAAGAGCTTCTACAGATCAATAAGATGACAACCAATACTTCAGTAGGAAAATTGCAAATATATGTACAGTTCTTATGAGAATTACAAATGTTTCTTAAACATTTGCGAAAATGCTCAATATTTTTTATCATTAACCATGCAAATTAAAACTGTACCGAGATACCATTTTTCACCTATTTGGCAAAGGAAAAATAATTGATAGTACATTGAGTTGGCAAAGGACAGGACAAAGGGCATTCTTATTTATGCTGCTAGTAGGACTGTAAATTGGTCTAATGATTATGAAGGGCAACAGGACACTACACATCAAAGTTTTAGATTATATTTATATGTATATTCTCCATTGATAGAGCAATTCCTCTAGTAATTTATCCTATAAATATATGTGTAAAATGACATACATGAAAGTTTCTCATCTTAGAATTTTTTTTTTTGGCAGTACTAGGGATTGAATCCAGGTCTCACACTGACCTACCCCCATATACCTTTTAAATCTTTTTTAGTTTGAGACAGGGTCTTAGTCACTAAATTGGCCCATGCTGGGCTCAAGCCTGTGGTCCTCTTGCCTCAGCCTCCCCAAGTGCTGGGATTAAGAACATGCGTCACCATGACTAGCTAGAATATGGAATCTCTTTACGTATTGATGTAGAATGATCTTTTCTTTGTCTTTTTCCTTTTTATCGGTACCAGGGATCGAATTCATGACTGCCTGCTTGCAAGGCAGGCGCTTATGCCGCTGAGCTAAATCCCCAGCCCCGTAGAACTATTAGTTTGCAGTTCGAGACACTGTACCCAGAGCCTTATGTACTGCTCGGCAAATATTCTACTATTGAACTATGTTCTTAGTCCTCAAACTACTATTAAAAGTGAAAAATATGGTGCTGTACAATATATACAAAATGTTACTATTTATGTACAATGAAAGTGTACATGTAGGAGTAGAAAAAGCGTGGTTCTGGGAATGGAACTTAGAGCCTTGTACATGTTAGTCACATGCTCTAGCACAGCCCAACCTTATTTATTTATTCTTTTTTTTTTTTGTACCGGGAATTGATATTGTCTTTTTGAGACAGGGTCTTGCTATGCAGTTCAGGCTGGCCTTGTAACCCAGGCTGGCTCACTTTGTAACCCAGGCTGGTCTCAAACTTCCAACATTCTCCTGCCTCAGCCTCCCGAGGGCTGGGATTATAGGTATGTACCAGCATGTCTGGCCCAGCTCTATTTCTGTATTCTTTAAAATTTGTAAAGAATTAGGGGCTGGGGATTTAGCTCAGTGGCATAAGCGCCTGGCCTTGCAAGCAGGCAGTCGTGAGTTCGATCCCTGGTACTGATAAAAACGAAAAAAAAAAGAATGAGGTCTTGTCCAAACTAGTCTCAAATCCCTGGGCTCAAGTGATCCTCCTGCTTCAGACTCTGGGAGCATATGCCGCATTATACCTAGCTATTTTCATTCAATGAGATAGGCCTGAAATACAATATATATAACAGTACTAGCTTGTGAGAAATGAGGTGACCAGGGAAAGAGAAGTAGAATAGACAACATATGTTAACATATTTTCTACTGTAAGACAAATAGACCCAAGAGTAATAAAACTATAATAACTAGCATTATTTAAACTATGGGGAAATGAAGATTTCTACTCTGTCAGAAGGGATGTTAACTAGTTCTTTTGTGGAGAACAATTCAACATCAAATAGTAAAGGGTTTAAAAATTATATTCCCTTTCACCCAAGAATTTTCCTTCAATTAATTCATCCTAAGGAAACAATCAGTGTAACATAAATACTTTATGTGGAAAGATGCTCATTGTAGCAGTATGCTACCAAACACAGCAACATTAGATGTAAAGGTAAGTACATTTCTTCTCTGTAAGCTGTAAAAATCATGTTCTAGTGGAAAGTTTAACAACATGAAAACATAGGCACAATAAATTGTTGAGGGGAAAAAAGTAGGTTACAAAACATTAAGTGCGGCACTACCCCAATTTTGTACAAGAAAAACGTATTTTCATAGGAAAGACTGGCTGGACAGATATAAGCAAAAATGTTAGTGTGTCTGTGACTAGTTATAGGATTGTTTTTATTCCTTAAACTTCTCTGCATTTTCCAAAGTAACAAGTAGTACTTTTGCAGATGAAAGTGACAAATAGTACTTTAAAAAGGGAAGAAAATACCAGCTTTCAAGAAAATTGTAAAGTACCATAATCACCAAGTACTAGCTTCACAACGTAGGCAGCTCATCTCCCTCCATATCCAGAGAAAACCTGAAATTCTCTGACTTCACTTTTTACCTCGAACAGCTTTCCATGTGATCACATTAACGATACACATGCAAAAAGTTGGAGAGATTAGCTCTAAAAAAGAACTGTTAAGCCATTTATCACTGGATCATCACATCTAATGGATTTTAATCCTTCAACAGCCATTAAAGCTTACATTATTTAGCTGCATGCTAACAAAGCAGGCCTTTTATCAGCATTAGAAGCTATTTAAAGTTTGATAGCTTTTGGAAAATTAAATCCAAACTTTAAGCATAGCCCTGTTAAAGATTCAGAGTAGAGGAATACCCTTCAAATTTATATTTTAATTAATTAATCGATACAGTTATGATTTTTCCTCAAAATCTAGCTCACTGATGGTTAATATAATTAAAAATATTTGTAGACTGCTGATTTTTTTTTTTTTTTTTTTTTTTGCCTTTTGGAGTCAGGATCTCACTATGCAGTTCAGGCTGGCCTTGAACTCACTGTGTAGTTCAGGCTGTTCTGAACTCTCAGCAATCGTCTTGCCTCACGTCCCAAGTGCTGGGAATACACGCATGCACCACATATCCAGCAATTAACACTAGTATTAATACATTCCCCGACAACCTTCAAAATAAAATTCAGCTAGGCTATTGCAAAACACCCCATTTTCTTTTCTAACTTAAGTCATTCTGTTTGTAAGCTAACACTGTGGTTAGCTAAAACCCGGGTGTCCTCTAAATCAGGGCTATCAAGCTAACAGCCTCATCAATCAGACAAAAAAGGTGTATCATTCAATGAGAGCTGACAGATGCAGCAAGGCAGGGAAAGGGACTGCTCTAGTGTCTGAAGTTCCCTGATGAAATTCAGGACATAAAGTAATCTTTGTCTTAGAATATAACCAACAGCAGAATTCTGCCAATTTACTTTTTCAAATTCAACCCACAACATAAACAAAAATAACACTAGCTAGGAAATTTAGCAGTATGGCTCTATCTTTTGCAGAAATATGTTGAAATGCTGGGCTGGGAGCATTTTACCTTAGAGTACAGCACTGCAGCTCCACTGTAATTCTTCTCCTGGAATTTTTTGTTTCCTTCTTCTCTGTAGAAACAGGGAGCCTTGGGATCCTTTCCCACCGAATAACCTTGAGAAAGTCTTTTTAAAAACTTCTCATCCTCAGATCTTTGTGAAAAAGGGAAGAATATTAAAAAAGAAAGCAGAACTGCATTATTTTAAGGAAAGCTCCAATCACCGCCCTTGAAACAGGATGTGTGCCTGTGCCTGAGAACATATGGAGCACACAGGCTGCATGTGTTACGTAACACGACTGCAAGAAAACGTCTTCTCCTGGTCTTGGAGACATATGGAACTATATTTCTACTGAGAGAAGAGTGCCAATGTTTTATTCTTTACCTCATAATTACTGGCCAGTGAGCCATCCCTCGGGTCCTACACCATCAAGACGCTAGGAGGTAGAGAATGATATGATACACGGATTGTTCACACCAAGGAGGATTCGCCACCTAAACTGTGGTGAATGGAGGGAGCGGAGGGGGGGAAAAGGGGAGACAGACAACAGGAGGAGAAGGCAGAATAAGAAAAGGTGGCATAAGCACCTGCCTGGCAAGTGCGAGGTCGTGAGCTGGATTCCTGGTACCAAAAAAAAAAAAAGAATAGGAATAAGAAGAGGGAAAAAAGGAAGGAGGGCAGGAGAAATGAATCATCAAGTAACTGTAGTGAAATTTTAACATTTGGAGAATCTGAAGAAGGGTTATCAAAATAGCAATTCTGTGTACTATTTTTATAAATAAGTGAAATTATTAAATAAATGAAATTATTTAAAACTGAAGTTTTAAAATATAAGTCTACAACTACTATATAATAAGTTAATTTAATATATAAGTACATGAAGATATATATATATAACGTGACAATAGAGAATATACCTTTTTCCCAATAAGGAAAAACAGTATAGAGTAATCTGTACTATACTGTTTAGCTACCATGACATAAAGTAAAACATGAGTAACAAAAATAGAAATAAAAATGACATGAAGAACTGAGAGTTCTTTTGAGCAATCCTTGGGTCAAAGAAGAAATCACAATTAAAACTGCAGAATGTTGGTAAGTGTTTTCAAACTTTTTGTCTTAATAATAATGACCAACAATAAGAAACATCTTCTACATTATTACTTGGCAAGATGCTTCTGTGTGGGTACACACTGGATTTTCAAGTTAAAATCAAGTCATTAGGGGCTGGGGATTTAGCTCAGTGGCATAAGCGCCTGCCTTTCAAGCAGGTAGTCGTGATTCAATCCTTGGTACCGATAAAAAGGAAAAAGACAAAAAATAAATAAATAAATAAATAAAATAAAGTCATTGGCAGATTTAAATACAACACAGAAAAATCACAATACGATAAGAAAAATTTGTAAAGATTTAATTCAAAATGTATGCTTTCCTATTCTAAATTTACTCCAGTCTTGAACAGATGAAGACAATACTCTCTGCATATCTGGTATATCACAGAATATACTGTTTGTTTTGATTTTCAGTTAGATAAACTTGAAAATCCTATTTCTTTTTTTCTTTTCTTTCTTTCTTTCTTTTTTTTTTGGTACTCGGGATCAAACTCACGACCTCACACTTGCCAGGCAAGCACTTGCATGGTTGAGCTAAATCCTGGCCCTTAAAAAAAATCCCATTTCAAACAAAAAGGTTGTGGTGAGCAGTAAGAAAAAACAAACACTGAAATTCTTGTATAACAACAGATACTCTTTAATATATTAATACAAAATAATGATAAACTCAATGTTCTTTGATTACTCTTCAGTATAATTAAGATCTAAATTACAATAACTCATTCTCTTCTTCAGGTCCGGAGTTTAACTCACTGACTCAAGTGTTTTTCTTTTTTTGGCACAAGGAACTGAACTCAGGACCTTGGGCTTATCAGGCAGGCACTGTGCCACTGAGCTAAATTCCTGGCCACTGACTCAGTTTTGCAAAGCACATGGATGGTCTATCTTTTTTTTTCAAAAATTTCTACTGGAATGTTTGAGAAATACGTGACTTTGTGAGATGAAATAATGTCAGGTTTTTGCTTTGCTTTGCAATCCTGGGAACTGAACCAAGGGCCTTTGCACTAAGCCACAGACCCAGCCCTTCTCTTAAATTTTGGAACCGGGTCTCACTAAATTGCTAAGTCCCCCAGGCTGCACTAATATGTCTGGAGTGCCTCTAGCTTTTCATTGTAGTAAAACATACATAACATATAATTATTATTTTCACAATTTTTATGTGTACAGTTCAGTGACACCGTTAATTTAGTATAATGTGCAACTGCCACCATTATCCATTTCTAGAACTTTGCATCATGCAAAACTGAAATTCTCTTCCCATTAAATAATAGCTCTTCATTCTTTTTTCTGAGTCACTGGTAAATTCTATCCTGCTTTCTGCCTCTTAGGTTCTGCATACTAAGTGGAATCATTTGCTATTGTCCTTTTGTGTCTGGCTTATGCTACTTACCAAAAACTTTTTTTTTTTGGTTTTTTTGAGACATAGTCTTGCAATGCAGTTCAGGATGGCACTGAGGTCACTTTGTAGCCCCAGCTGATTTTGTATTTGCAATGATCCTCCTGCTTCAGCCTCCCAACTGTTAGGATTATAGGTATGTGCCACCACACCTAGCTAGCAAAAAACTTTTAAGGTTCAGGCATGTTCACCTCTAAATTTCACTCCTTTTTTTTTTGCTGAATAATATTCTGCATATGTACACATCATAATTTGTTATTCTATTCATCTGTTAGTGGACATTTGCTATATAGTGCACTTCTAGTTATTGTGAATAATGCTTTTTATGCACGGACTGCCTCAAGTCTCACTTTTAATTATTTTGGATTTAAACACAAAAATAGGAATACTGAATCAAATGGTAACCCTATAATTATTTACTTATTTATTTTTGTCTTTTTCCTTTTTATTGGTACCAGGGATCTAACTCATGACCGCCCGCTTGCAAGGCAGGCGCTTATGCTGCTGAGCTAAATTCCCAGCCCCTCTATAATTAATTTTTGAGCAATTGTCATATCATTTTCCATAGTGGCTACATCATTTTATATTTCTAGCAATGCATAACAATTACAGTTTCTCCACATCTCCAGCTGCTCTTTTTTATTATTATTATTATTATTTTGGGTTTTTTGGAGACAGTCTTGCAATGTAGTCCAGGCCAGCACTGACCTCAGTTACGTAACCCAGGCTGGCCTTAACTCCTGACAATGCTCCTGCTCAGCCTCCTGAATGCTGGGATTACAGGTGTGCACCATCATGCCCACCTCAGTTGCTCCGTTGTTGTTTTTTTTTTAATTTTTTTTTTTTTTTTGTCTTTTTCCTTTTTATTGGTACCGGGGATTGAACTCACGACTGCCTGCTTGCAAGGCAGGTGCTATGCCTGCCGCTGAGCTAAACCTCTAGCCCCTTTCTATCTTTTTTTAAATTTTTTTTTTTTTGTCTTTTTCCTAGTTGCTCCATTTTTAAAAAACCATAAACAGTAAGGCCATTTTAAATCATGAGGTTGTACCTTACTGTGGCTTGGATTTATATCGTCCTGTGGGCTAAAAACGTTCAGCATCTTTTCAAGTGCATATTGGGCATTTGTCCATCTTCTGTTTTGGAGAAACGTGGACTCAGAATCTTTGCCTATTTTTTAATTGGGTTTTCCTTTTTGAGTTGTAGGAATTCTATATCCCCAGCTCTGTTCAGTTTTATTGTTTTGGTTTTTTGAGACAAGGTCTAGCTATGTAGTCCAGGCTAGCCCCAAACTTGCAGTGATTCTTCCTGCCTCAGGAAGAATCCTGTTTATTTTTGAGACAGGTCTCACTAAATTGGCCAGGAACACTTGAACTTGCAATTGTGCTGCCTCAGGGTTCCAGGTGCTCAGGTTACAGGAGTGTGCCACCATGCCAAGTCCCGAAGATCTCTCCTCTAATAGCTGAGGCACCCCCTCATGATTACTGCCAGAAGCACACACTACAAAATGGCTGTTTTCTAATTCTACTGTCAGTTCTAAATTTATTAACTAGCACTGTTCTGTAAAGGGAATTTTTGCTCCTTTCCTTCTTTCATTCATTTTTGTATTTATCTTCAGTATTACCATGGACTTAAAAAATTCAATTTATAAACCATTGCCATCATTATACTTCTTCATGTTCAAATTGTCCTAATTGTGGCCAGTGTGAACTTCTTTAGGCTGGCTCCTGTGTTCTTTTTACATAAATCCTTCACTCTTTGAGCATTTCTTTGCGTACTGCCACAATAAAGTATTCTGGTTCAATACAAAATCAAAACAAACAGTAAGGGTAAAGAGGCTAGGGGTATAGCTCCAGCAGAACAGCACCTGCCTGGCGATCATGAGGCTGTGAGTTCAATTCCCAGTACAAAAAAAAAAAAAAAAAAAAACAACCACAATAAAAAACGTAAGGGAAAGAGGCCAGGAGTGTTGGTAAACAAACTGTTCCTTAGGGCACTCTTAAAGCATCAGTCACGGGCTAAGGAGGGCCTCTCAATGAAGGGTTTTCAAATATTGGTGAAAGGCAAGAAAGAAGTGTGTACCTAACTGTATTTTATTTTAGACTTTTTGAGACAGGGTCTCACTGTGCAGTTCAGGATGGACTTGGGCTCATTTTGTAGCCTAGGTTGGTTTAGAACTTGCAATGATCCTCCTGCCTCAGCCTCCCAAGTGCTGGGATTACAAGAGTGTGCCACCATACCTGGCTTGTATACCTAACTTTAAAGATCAAATTCATACTTTTCTTTCATAGGGATGCATACAGAGACTAGAAGTTTAAAATGCCTTTGGGCACTTTAAGTCATGATTGGTTAATCTTATAAATGTGAGACACACAGGGAAGCAAACAAAAATGGAATTAATTATTAATTCCATGGTAAACAAAAGTCGGAAATGTAATTCAATACTTCATGGCTCAGGTGAGTAATATTTACAAAGACATTAAGAATATACGCATCAAAAGAAAGAAGAATATATGTGTCAAATGTTGGTTTAACCAGCACAATAGTCTACTGATTATATTATACATTATAGTTAGGATGAGAGGAAAACAAAGTATATGGGTGGGTGTGAATTGAGGGTGAAAGAGCTAAATTCACGTCTAAAACTA